CCTATTCCCATTCCCAGGGTTATTCCCATTCCTATTCCCATTCCCAGGGTTATTCCTATTCCCATTCCCAGTGTTATTCCTATTCTCATTCCAGGGTTATTCCCATTCCTATTCCCATTCCAGGGTTATTCCCATTCCTATTCCCATTCCCAGGGTTATTCCCATTCCTGTTCCCATTCCCAGGGTTATTCCCATTCCTGTTCCCATTCCCAGGGTTATTCCTATTCCCATTCCCAGGGTTATTCCTATTCCCATTCCAGGGTTATTCCCATTCCTGTTCCCATTCCCAGGATTATTCCTATTCCCATTCCCAGGGTTATTCCCATTCCTATTCCCATTCCCAGGGTTATTCCCATTCCTATTCCCATTCCAGGGTTATTCCCATTCCTGTTCCCATTCCCAGGGTTATTCCTGTTCCCATTCCAGGGTTATTCCCATTCCTATTCCCATTCCCAGGGTTATTCCCATTCCTATTCCCATTCCCAGGGTTATTCCCATTCCTATTCCCATTCCAGGGTTATTCCCATTCCTGTTCCCATTCCCAGGGTTATTCCTATTCCCATTCCCAGGGTTATTCCCATTCCCATTCCCAGGGTTATTCCCATTCCCATTCCCATTCCAGGGTTATTCCCATTCCTATTCCCATTCCCAGGGTTATTCCCATTCCTATTCCCATTCCCAGGGTTATTCCCATTCCTATTCCATTCCCAGGGTTATTCCCATTCCTATTCCCATTCCAGGGTGAATTCCAATTCCTGATTCCCATTCCCAGGGTTATTAAAACCCAAATTAACCTACGCCGCACCCCCGCGGACCTGCCCCATTCCCAGGGTTATTCCTGTCCCAATTCCCAGGGCTATTACCGCCGCCCCCCCGCGTACCTGCCCCTGCGCCGGCGGGAGCGCCGCGGCTGCTTCGCGGTGCCGATGGTGCACTCGACGTTCCTGCTGGATCTGCGCCGGGAGCGCTCGGGGGGTCTCGCCTTCCACCCGCCCCCCCCCGGCTACGGCGGCGCCTTCGACGACATCATCGTGTTCGCCTTCGCCTGCCGGCACGCGGGTCAGCGGGAATGGGATGGGATGGATGGGATGGGATGGGATGGGATGGGATGGGATGGG